GTGGTGGTGGTGGTGGTGTTGGTGGTGGTGGTGGAGGTGTTGGCAGTGGTGGTGTTCGTGGTGGTGGTGGTGGTGGTGGTGGTGGTGGCGGTGTTGGCGGTTGTGGTGTTCGTGGTGGTGTTGGTGGTAATGGTAGTTATGGTGGTGGTTTTGTTGATGGTGGTGGTGGTGGTGGTGGCGGTGGTGACGGTGGTGGCGGTGGTGACGGTGTTGACGGTGTTGATGGTGGTGGTGATGGTGGTGGTGTTGGTGGTGGTGATCAAAACAAACTGGTCTTCAGAAAACAGTGACACTCGGCCTGTCTAGCGACCTGACACCCAGAAGAAAGACGTCCAGTAAGGATCCTGTCACTTATGTTTCTGTCCCATTTTATCATTACAAGGATCGGATTTTGTGTCAGTTGTTTCCTGTGGACTGGATTCATCTTGCTCGGGATAGTGTTACAGGTACCCTTCCTGTGATTAATTTTTTGTCGGAGAATTTTTGACTAGCTGTGTAATACTATTAGCTTCTCAGTTAAGTTTACATTCCATAGAAGTACTTAGTCGGCCGTCGATCGCAGTGGCCGCGCGGTCTAAGGCATGAACAGTCTTCGTCCGATCGAACACTGAGGTCGTGGATTCGAATCCCACTCGAGGCATGGATGTCTGTGTACATTGATTCTCTGCTTGCGTCGTTCTGAGTGTAGGTAGAGGCCTTGCGACGGGCCTACCAATTCTGTATATGATTAAGAAACTTAAAAAGCTGCCAAGGCCCGAGAAAGGGCTGTAGAGCCATAGAGAGATAACTGGCCGGTCGCTTGTTTACTTAGTTAAATGTGTCTCTCTTCCACTGTGTTGTTACGTTTGTTTAACGTCATATTTATGAGTATTTCTCTTCGAATTTGTACATCCTTCATTTTGATCTGTTTACCTCACAGATGGTTGTATTTCTATCTGCCATTATAATTACACGAGTCACATATTTTATGGATAAGACTCTTAATTAACAAAATTATATGCGAAAGTGCTTAACAACGTGTGGGGGGTGTTAGAGTTCATATATAGACAGCTGTAGTTAAATGAAGGCCGCGCCATAGCCCAAGCGGTTAGTCGTTGGCTTCCCACCGCGGCGGCCTGGGTTCGATCCCGGGTCTGGTAAAGTGGGATTTGTGGTGGACAAAGTGGCGCTGGGGTAGGTTTTCTCCGAATACGTCGGTTTCCCCTGCCAATCTTCATTCCACCAATTGCTCCACAATCACCCTCACCTATCATCTGGGGGTGGTACAATAGGCCAGAAGTGGCCGCAGTACAAGGGACTTAGTCCCACCCCACTAGCA